TCAGAGCGACAAAGAAGAGTTTGATTTTTTTTCACGAAATTTGAATATGAAAGCGGATAAATTGGCACGAAATGTTCGTACCTTACCGCATCTTTCTACTTATGTAAACAATATGCCTACACATTGGCTAATTTGAGCCAATCAAATAAAGCTGTTGAGAAAAAAAAAAATAAAAAAATAAACAATGTACATTAATTAGTTACTTTTGTGTTATATCTTTTAAGAAGTTAATTTCAAGTTGTTGTTGTTTTTTTTTTTTTTTGATGAAATGTTAAATTAATTGAAAGAATCATAGTTATTTACAACTGAGATGACGTAGTGGAACTAAATAAAAGACAAAGCTAAATGTGAGTGAAAAACAGAGCAAAATCCAAGTTTGAAAAAAACAGAGCACCACCCAGAGCCGTAGCTGGATAGAAGCAAGAGAAGCGGGAGCTGCGGCCCTCCGAGAAGTTATTAATATTTTCGGCCCTCAAATACAGATGTGTTTTGGTAGCCTAGTGGTATTATGTCATACACCACATATCTTAGGTCATGAGTTTGAATCACCTGAAGCGTGAGAGAAGGGTTTTTTTTTTTTTTATGGTTAAATTTTTTTATAAGTATACACTTTTCTAGAACGGCCCTTTTTTTTTTTTGCGGGCGGCCCTCATAATCGTTGCTACGGCTCTGGCACCACCTATTGAGTAAGACGTGAGCTGAACCACCTTTGCATCAACCCTCGCAGATTCTGTCGCTCATAGCAGCTCAAAGACATGATCCTTGTCTTTATCACCCTCTCAATCGTGCGTGCCAGTTGGATGTGTGTGCGATGATGCGTATTGTGTCGCCTTTTGTTTCGCTCGCGCCATACATAGTAGACAGTAGCTTGGAAACATAGCCGGATGAGAATGTAATCAGACCTCTCAAAGGAATGTGTTACTAGCCACTGAATTGTCTCCGTCCAATCAGGATCCGGGTCCGTCTTTAACAGATCGCCTGCAACATAAATCCACACCATGAATGAATAAGGACACGCAAAGAACAAGTGGTCACGCGTTTCCTCAGGTTCTCCACATAAAAGGCAGGGTTGGCTATCACCTCAAGCTCTCATCCGTGACCCTGTGGTGAGTCTATCCCTGATTGCCAACCAGGTAATAAAAGCATACCGAGGGACATTCTGCGGGAACCAAACAATCTTACACCATTCCTTTGCTATTCCACGTGATCGCAGCTGTTCCCAAGTAGCAGCAGCCGCATATACTGGTCGGAAGTCATCAGTTGTTTTTTACTCCACTTACTCCAATCAATTGATCTTGAAAATAAAAATACATTAAATATACTATAGAATAGGCCTGGGCATAATACCCGAACCCGAAGAACCGAACCGAACCCGACCCGAAAAATCCGATCCGAATCCGAACCCGAAGTTTTAAAATACCCGAACGGATTCTAAATTTCACAACCCGAAAACCCGAACCCGAACCCGACCCGAACTCGAACCCGAACAAGTACCCGAACATACCCAAAATATAAGTACATAGTTATAATATATTAGTAATATTTATACTTGTAATAACCTAAGTGCCTAAATTATTCGGATGTTAAGATATTTTCGGGTGTTTTAACTACTTTGGGTTAGATATGGGTTAAAATAATTGGGTTTTATAGATTTTTTTGAGTATTTTTCAATACTTTGCATAGAATCGGATACAAAATTTCTAATATTTGGATACTTCGGGTAAACCCGAATCCGAACCCGAAATACCCGATCCGAACCCGACCCAAACCCGAAGTTTTAAAATACCCGAACGGGTCTTAGTTTTCTAAACCCGAAAAATCAGAACCCGAAAAACCCGACCCGAACCCGACCCAAATATCCGAACGCCCAGGCCTATAGAAAATCAATCTTTTTGATACAAGAAGAAAACCTCAAAAATCATTCTTTTGATACAGAGGGAGTAGAATTCTTGAGTTATTAACAAAAATACAAAGTGACGTAAGAAAAAATACAAAGTAAATTTACTGATGTCTTCAATTACCATCAATAAGTTTGATAATAACTTGTAGAGATTAAACAGCACAAGCAATTAACTATCGTTCAACAAGCAAAAGTATATACTTGAACCTTTGTATTAACTAGATTTACTTGCCCGCACGTTGCGCGGGATATCAAAATTTAAACTGACCACAATACAAAATATTAACAATATTCATAATCATTTGAATTTCAAAACTATATATATATATATATATATATATATATATATTCATACTTGTTTTACAAAACAGTATACAACATAGAAATTATAAAAAATATTTGGTATGTACCACGTAATAACAAAAGTAATATAATATGAATCAGTTTCGGTAGCCATCCATAAACTTTTTTCAAAAAGAGAGTTTATTCTATAAACAGATCTTGTAAATATCTATCTCGAGGTTTTGATCTAATCTTATCCCATACTAAAAGTAAATTTGCTGAGTTTGAACATCAAATTATGAAAATGTATAAACGTAATATTCATGCCGCTTCAATAGGTTTGGAGAGCACAATTTACCTACTGAAGCAAGACAATCATGCATTAAGGAAAGTTTTGACCAAATCATGAATGTCTTTATCTTATCTTATCTATCCTACAACGCTTTATACATGGCTCAACGGTTTAACCCAATGTTGAATATGATAGTTTGGTTTACTAAATCAAACTATCCGATAGTGCATACATATATCCGATGAATTTATTTTAGGCATGTGCATATATATATCTGATGCTTCAAGCATTAGTCAATTTCTCTTCAAACATTTTTTCACTTTCATTTTTTCGTCATCTTCTATGATGTATTTATTCGCCTCCTAACATCTACTTTTCTTTTATCTTCTATGCTCACTTACATATAATAAAAAAAACTTTGAATTCATTCTTAACTCAAAACTATTTTTTTTAATTTCCATCTTCTTAGCCTATTTTCTCTTATTAATTATATGATTTTCATTCTTGAGCGTAATATAGTTTTACGGAAGATATATATTTATGAAAATTGTCTCAACACTTATTTATATTTTACCTATATTTAAATATTTTCCCCTTTTTTATTTAGAAAGCAAACAATATTATAGATATATTTGTATTTTTTTAATTGTATTATTAAGATACAATCAATCTTTCTATTTTTTCGTCAATGTGAATTTATACTTTTACTTTCTTCAAATATAATTTCCAATTATAAAAATGAATTATTTCTTATATCTTAAAAAAAATTATACAATCATAAATTTACTATAACATTAACCATTTATTTTTTAATCTAAAAAATAATATTATTTTAAATAGATTTTTTCCATTTCATTATCATCTCTTTAAGTTAATGTTTCTTGGAACTATGAATATCTTCTTATTATTAAAAAAAAAACTCTTATAGCTTTCTATTTTAATTCAATTCTTTTGTTCATCCTAAATTATATTTGAAGTTTCCTTATTATTCTTAAAAATGATAGGTTTTAAAAGTTCGTTTATTTTTTTATTTTTAATAAGTTATCATTTTTTTGTAATTGTATAATAAATTTCATTAAGAATCCTTTTGCCCTTCTTAAATAACAATGGTATTTCTATGAAATTTTCATTATTATTTTTTATTTCTTAATTATATATTTAGGTATTATGTTCATTTTAAGTTATATATTAGCAAAAAATTAATTTTAAGTGTTTTATATTTATATATGTTTCACTTGTGTTATTATTATTCAAGTAACCTTTATTTAAAATTGTGCATTAATTAAAGATTACTTCTTAGATAATTAGATGTAATTAACTATAAAATTAAATATTTTGAAACAATTATTGGTGGGATCCATCATATTAATTTGGTGATGATGTAGACACTCTAAGAGGAGAGAAAACTCTCCCATTATATATATATAGATTTGGCTCTATTCTCGTTGCAAACAATAGTCACATATTGATGCACGTATATCTAATTATTCCGACAAACAGATTAAAATATCTATCTCAAAGTAATTAAAAATATATATAGTTGCACAAAAATAATATATTCGACAACGATTCAGTCGAACTAGTAACACATGGTAACTATGATAGAGGTACATTGCCATAGAATACAATAGTAAATATAGGTTTCCAAACATATTAGATTTAAGCCAAGCCTCGGTTCATTGATTCTGACTGTTGTAATACAATAGACTCTGTTTCTTCCTTTTTGTGGTTTCGCCCAGGACTACCAAGGTAAAGAAGTTTTATTTATCGGTTGTCCTTGTTTGGATTGGTTGATGAGCTTGTGAGTTCACTTTTATCTCTAGGTCTCTATTTTAGAATTGTTGTAGATTTTAGTTTTACCATTTGTTCGACCAATATTAATGTGTTGGATTATTCGGCCATTCGTGACCATGTTTATATCCTTAGCTTCCTAGTGAAGGTTAAACTTTCTATCGTTTGAGTGGATGCTTGTCCAAAACACATAATTGCCTTGCACCGGTAAATTGATATCATGCTACAAAAAAGTAATACATTTATATTAGATTCGAAATAAATTAACCAAATTACTCTCAATCAGAACATGTAATACTAATCACAAAACCAGTCATACAAATCACAAGAAATTTATAACTAAATAGAAAAGGAAAACTCAGTATACTATATTTAAACTTTACATATTTAAATGATTAAATGTATGTACATATATTTATAATCATGGTCAATTGTATATGTTATTATTAAGATTTCTATTTATTTTTCCATTAACAGTAGAACCGACCGGAGAGAGATTGCTTTTATTTGAGTATTACAATTATGATAAGATAACTTGTTTCAAAATTTTTTATTACAATTATGATAAGATAACTTGTTTCAATTTTTTTACATATTTCATAATGCATATATGTTGGAAATTAAAATGATAACATGATCTTCGGTTGAAAACAGAATTTAAGTAGCTGGAATAATGTTGTGACTACTTCTAATATACTTTTGATCTTAAACTAACTATACTATACAGAATTTAAGTCACATTCCCAAACAATATATAGATAAATATGTTAGTGATCTCGTACCTAATAAGTACACATGTCTAGAGATTGATAGAATCTCAAAACAAAACCATCACAGTTACAAACGTTTTGCTAATGTATTAGGACCATCCCATCTTAGTACTGAGAGAAAACTTCCTTGTAAGAATGTATCCTCTCAGCTTCTCTACGCAATGATTGATCGACTGGTGATCGATAGACCTTACAGTCCAGATGTCTTGTTCGTAAATCTTCCTTTTCCGCTTTCTTCTTTCGGATATGTGATACCATTGTCGAGTTATCTTGTTGACATATGTTATTAGGCATTGTAAGCTGAAGATCTTCGATCTCAAACAGATTCTCTGTAATTTCTTGATCTGCTGATCTCACTCTCGCTGATCTCCTTCTTAAGTGCCTCCTGTAACGTAACAATCAAGAAACCATGGATGGAGCGTAGCCAAATTGGAATTATAAGTGTTAAAGTGAAAACCTTTTGGTTTCAGATTTCTCTTTTTCTGCCTCATTCTTGTTTGCAGTAGATGCTCCTAAGGCTGTTGATAAAACCGTCAAGGAAAATAGAAAATCAACCATAAATAGTTACAGAAGAAACAAGAAGATGATGAGATATATACATTTGCTTCTGATGAATCGCCTTCTGGTTGGTACATAAGGTTTCGGTGACGGTGAGTCTTCGTCCTTTATCTTTAGCACATTCTCAGTTGTTAGGGCATTTCTTGGTTTTGTCTTTTCACCTTTCTGATCCAAATGTGTGAATAATATAGGCAAACACATAACCAACTTTGGTTTATAATGAATAAGTAAATTCAGTATAAATTCTTTAACAAAACTTGAAGAAAATAAGAGAAACGCCAAAAACATGTTCAAACCTCTTGTTCAAAACATTTAGACTTAAGCAAAGCATTTTTGCAAGTAACCTCATGGTGCAAAGCTTTCACCTGAAACATAATCCAAATTTAGACAAAGAAAATCCAAAACATGTGACCAGAGAGAAGTTATGTTTTCACCTTGTTTCTAGCTAAATTGATCTCCTACAAAAAAAAATTGGTATTGATCAGAACTTTGAATCAAAGAGAAAATCAAGAAAGCTTAGCGGACGACGAATCTTACGCCTAAGAATTGGGAATTGGATTGAGCAAGGCTCCAATTCTGTACTTGCAATTTGTATATGCCTTCGCGTAGATTCCGCAGTTCGTATCTACTTAACTCAATAGTTTTACTTTGATAGTTAAAGAAAATACCGATTCTTGACATCATTACATTAACAAGTTACCAAAAACAAAGCTACATGGAACAAAAGGATACTCTCTGTCCTCAAGAAGCTTAACCAATGCTACTTTCTCCTGTAGAAATTGAATTCAGTCAATGATAATAATTGAAATCAAAAGTTAAAACAATTTAGAGATTGCAACCTTCATTAGCCGGTTTACGTGTTCACTCGGCTCCGAACCGACCCCGTAAAGATTAAACTCTTCTTGAGACTGAGAGTTAGTGATATCAGAGAGACTCTGCCTCATCTTGCGACTAAATGAAGATCTTTTCATCATCCTCCCTTATTCTTGAAACTACAGAATTTGTAGACTCAAGTTTCGAAATTTGAAACAAACACAAGAAGTAAATAAAAGCAGAGACACATTTTTCTTGAAAACGAAGAAGAAGATTCTCTTTTTTCTTTTCTAGATAAAAAGGAAAAGTTGAGAGGGAAATGAAGAAGCGAGCCAAAAAAACGAAAAGAAGAGAAAGTGGGTTTTTTAAAAGTAGGTTCGGGTGGAGGTTCGTTGTGGCAACGGCTCTCCGAAGCAAAAAGGCGTTGGGAAGAAATTGATATACGAACCTTGATTTTGAAGTTCCGAACCTTATGTTGTAGCAGCTATATTCGTTGGCTAGAGACTACATGTTGTTTTTTCATTTTTTTGATGCCAACAAAAAAAGAGCTCCTACCATAGATTTTTTTTAAAAGCAGTAATTAGAACGGCAAAATATTTAGGGATGTGCCTTTAGTCAAGTGGTTAAGTCCATTTGGCTCCGCTTTCTCCACAAGAGTTCGACTCCACTAAATCGTGTTACCCCGCGTAGTAGGGATTGACTATGGATCGGGCTTTGTCGATCCAAAAAAAAAAAAAAACGGCAAAATATTTTCGATGTTAAATTTATCAAAACATTTATTCGAAAAATTCAGAAAAAAAAAACATTATACAGAAGTTAAGAAGCTAACAATCAATTTAAATGGTGTCAGTTCTGGTTTACTCTATGACCCCATAATATTAAAACTTTACAGAATAAAGAAAACTAAAATAAATTATATAACTTGTTAATACATCATTTACACATAGCGTCTGTAGTCCAACGGTTAGGATAATTGCCTTCCAAGCAATAGACCCGGGTTCGACTCCCGGCAGACGCATATTATATTTTTATTTCTGATAGGCCGATATTTAGGAGGGGTTATTGGTTCATAGATTTATATGGAATTAGAAATCCAAACAAAAATCATTTGTTATTCAATCATTGATTTTAAAATCCTAATTAAATTCATGTGTTATTGGTTCTATGATTTATAAATACTAGTTAAAATCTTATGTTATTCGTTTAGTCATTTGTTTTTGGATTTGAGAATCTAAATTATGTTTTAAATGGAATTGAATGGAATTGAAAGATAAAAATAGAAGGATTCAAATCCATGGGTAAACACATGTTATTTCAAAATCCATATATCTTGATTTCATAATTAATAGAAATTTTCAAATTCTATATGGATTTACAAATTAACAAACTAATAACACCCCCTTAGTGTATGGGCCGTGGCAGGCTCTACAAAGCCCCTTTCGTGGGGTATTATTTTTATTCTCTCTCTAATAGCAGGAGAATGAATCCTTGATGCCAATGAGAAAATCATTGTACAATACTTTTATTTTGGATACAATGTTTATAACAAATGTATAAAAAAATATTGTCCTAAGGTCCAGCTATATCATCGTGAATGTTGATTATAGCTTATAGGAATTTGATACAATTCGTTAATTAGTAGTGATGATATAAAAGAATTTACATGCTCCAGTTTCAAAGTCAAATTCTTCAAAATTATTGAGTAGATTTCAAATTTCTAATTAGATTAGGATATATAACTAAATTATTCGTAAAAGTAAAATGAAAAATAAGTTTCATTGTTGTTTGAATTATATTATGCCCTAGGTCTTGTCTCGAACGAACTATCATTTTTTTTGCTAAGAAAATATAAAACGTAAACGTGAGATTCGAACCCTTTATCTCTTAGAAAATATCATTTTTACCGAACGAACAAATCAGAAACATGAACATTTTCTTATTGGTTTACGTATTGAATAATTTTATTAATTCATTGTTATCTTCTACTTTTCTAACGAGGGTGTCTTAGGGGATATAGCTTATCACTTTACTCATAACATTACTTTTGTTATAAAAATCGATATACGAGAAAACATATTTGGACAATTATAAAGTTTATAAACAACGACCGTTAAGAATCTAGAAGATCCCCAAAAAATGATACGGTCATGTTTGATATTGACGACCCACCAAAAAGTTCATACATCGTGGCTGATGGACCAATTGTCGATAGAAGTTTTCAATTGAAAATGTTTAAAATGAAATGGACCCACACGGTTTCTAGTAAAATATATGCATAAATAAAAAAGTTGGCATCCATAATGTTTTATATTTCGGACCCACTCGTTAGGGTGGATAAAATCTATTTGCACAAAGCATTCAAAAAGTTACATTTAGACTCCGAATGGTAACCGCGTTTTGCGGTGCGGGAGAAATGCGGTATTATAGTGCGGTACGGTTCAACTGCGGGACGTGCGGGAGAAATATATTTGCGGAACAAGTGCAGTTTGTATAAAATAAGCGGTACGAAATAATATTTGATTGGTGAAAAAAGTTATTTGCGGGATAAGTGCGGTTTTATATATAATTATATATATAAATTAATAATTAATTATTTTTTTTTGTTAATAAATATATGGTGAAGAGTATAACGTATCTCTTGCAGACTTACAAAAATAAACATTGTAATGGAAACTTTGGAGTTGAAGTTAAAACTTGATTTGATTAATACTGGTAAACTGATAATACTTACTTTATTTATTTATTAATTAATCTTTGTCAAAATAAGGTTTCAGTTTCACTCACATTCAATTTACTTGCTATCTCGTTCATCATATATATAAGTATGGGGTAAATGTTTAAGACTCTGAATGGTAACGGCGTTTTTGATAGTGCGAGAAAAGCGGATTAAGAGTGCGGTACGGTTCAACTGCGGTACATGCGATATACGAAACAAATGCAGTTTTTGTAAATAAGCGGTGCGAAATAATGTTTGATTGGTAAAAAAATCAAAAGCGGTGCAGAATACAGATTATAATTAAATAATTTATAATAAATATATTAGTAATATTAATATAATTATAAATTAAACATTCATATATATATATATATATAATACAATGTGATACATATTAAAAATTCTTAAGATATTTACAATTGTTTAAATATTTTAAACAGTTAAAAATAAATAGAACAACTGGTGTAAATTAATATAACAACTAAAAAACTATAATTGTTTTCTAAAATTTTCAAATCTAATTAAAATATATATTATACAATTTATATGAAATAATTTAACCATATTTTAATAAAATTGTACTACAGTTTTTTTTCTACATATCTGTTTTTTCTCTTTCTAAAAACTGATTATTTTATAATTTGTGAAGAAATAATGAAGTAAGTTAATTTTTTTTTCTCATAAAACCACATTTAAAAGTAAAACATTTATGAGAATTATTAACAAGTTAAATTAAAAAGAAAACTCATTATGTATATATTAGTTATTTGTTAAAATGTGCGGTGGTTATTAATTCTTTTTTTATCAATCATAATTGGTTGTTAAAGAAAAGATAAAATAAAAAGAAAAAGGATAATTTGTATTATCCCCTGCAGAATTGATTAAAAACGCTGGGTAATTGATAGGTTGAGAAATGAAGTGCGGTCCAATGGATATTACTCGACATGGAAAAACGCAAACAATATTTCCTGTTTTTTTAGAAAACCGCAGCTTATAACCAATTATAAGTGATTGGTGACATGTTGTGGTTTTGAGAAAAAAAAACATGAAATCCGCTTTTTGTGTGGTCACCATTCACGACCTTAGTTAGATTTCACGACCATAAATCTTACCTCATATTGGTTAAAACCAAAATATAGCTATCTCTCAACACTATTTTTTATTTTACTTTTTCTTATAAAATATCTATTTATGGGAAGGAATGCTGATTATGGGATTTGGTAACATAGATGAATAGATCATTTAGGCCTGAGACTATTATGCGGAAGTAATATTAAGGACCATGATATAATATATAAGGTGTTTGTATTAGTATTGATGTTGTGTACAATATAAGGAGCATGTTGTTGTGCCACCATTCACATTCAAATCTACATAATTTATGTGATGGGAAAAAAACATTAAATATTATCTTAGATTTATTGGTAGCTTTACCTCTCGCTTTTAAGGAGCTTTTGAATGGAGATTAATTTACATTTTTTTTATCCTTGACCTAAACAAAAACTATGGGTCGAAAGTCCATAATTTTCGGTTACTTAAAATATTTTTTTAGAGTCTACTAAACTTTTAATGTCAAACTTAACAGTTTTACACTCCCAAATTACCTAATAGATGAACCACTATTACATCCCATAAAGTAAATAATGAAAAAACATTCTGAGAGAAGATAAATACATCAAAACAAAAATTTCGTACCATCACATCAAAATTATATATAAGTACATTGAAGAGTGAATTATATCATCGTAGAAACATTAACCACTTTACTCAAAGCGTCAGTCAAAGTGTCAAAGGTATAAATTAAAACACTATACATATATATTTTATTTTTATATAATGGTACAATATAATTCTCTAAAGGCATTTCCGTAGAATCGATACCTCTTTAACTGCCAAAACTGAAATCCGGTTCTTTTTCCTATCATATTTATAGTTAAGATTCCTACAAACTATGTTTCATTAATTATTTAGTAATTGTCCTTTAAGAACATCATGGGAAATTATTGGCCGACAAAATATGCAATTGGTTTGCCTTGTTCTCGTGATTAGATAGAAAACGCGCGCACATAAAAGTTATTAAATTCGGTTTCATGATTATTGATATTGAACAAAATGGACGCAAAGCATGTCTCGTTATGCTTATTTATACAAGCTTCCATTTATGTGGCTTCGAGCACAAACCTTAACCAATAAGTGTGAATAATCTATGTTTGTCAATTTGCCAACACGATCATATTCATTGCGCGTTACTGAATATTGGATAATGTGGGCCTTCATCCATAATACATGTATGGACATTCTCATGTAATATATTATAATGTCGAGCGAAAATGAAATGTCTATGAGTTTATCGAACGTTAAAAATTTCAAGAATCACTTCGTTTTCTTGTGAAAATATATCCAGTTAACCAAATATAACTCAAATTAATTCTTGCTGTACATTTCCTCGACATGAATTGTTTAGATTAGTTTTCTACATTCGTAAAAAAAGCGCCTAGATCCATCGAGAAGTTTACAGAACCATAACCAATTTGTTATACGTCTAGTAATGTCTAAAATCCAGAAAATTAACTTTATTTTACTCTTTAATTAGAATGATAACTTAATCATCTACTAAAACATGCC